CGGCACGGGACCTGCAGAGCGCCTGCTCGTGGCCAGGGCCTCCAGGCTGCGGCCTGGCCGGGCGGCTCAGTGAGGCCGGCCGGCTCAGTGAGGCCGGCCAAGCCTGTCAGTGCTGCCTAAGCTGACTGTCCTCTGCGAGGGTGGACTGGCTCCTAGTAGGACGCTCCTCCCCTGCTGGGCCACGCTCAGCCCCCGCCCCCCCGCGCCCCTACAACCAGCCTCTCCCCTCCCTGCCCAGGAGACGGAGGTGGAGCTGTACAACGAATTCCCCGAGCCTATCAAGCTGGACAAGAACGACCGGGCCAAGGCCTCAGCAGAGAGCTGCAGTTGCTGAAGGGCTGCAGGGCGAGCACAGGCCTCCACAGACGGAGCACACGAGGCCTTGCACCCTCCAAACCGCAAAAACTGGTCTCACGTCCAGCTGCCAGAAGCCCCACCGGTTACGCCCCACCTCTCTCTCTCTCACGCGCGAGCGCGCCCACACACACACACACACACACACACACACACACACCCCTTACACGAGCAGATTCCAGCCCAGGCCTGCCACAGCGCCTGGGCATCTGCCCACCCCTGCATGGGCCTGTGTGGCCGCAGGCGGGCCGGCTGTAGAAATCAGTCTGACGTGGAATCAGCATCGGAAGCTTATTTTTTGTCCACTGGAGAGAGAGAACTGTTTACAGTTAATCTGTGTCTAATTAGTTACCTGATTTTTTTAACGGTCTTGTGGTCTTTCTGCCCTGCCCCTGCTCCTTGAAGGCTCCCCGTGGGAAGGCTGGTGCCCATGCTCCATCAGCGCTCACACCCAGTCTGCTCAGGCTGAGTTTTGTACGTATCTGTTAATGCTTGTTACTTTTAACTAATCAGATCTTTTTACAGTATCCATTTATTATGTAATGCTTCTTAGAAAAGAATCTTATAGTACATGTTAATATATGCAACCAATTAAAAATGTATGAATTAGTGTAAGAAAGTCTCGGATCACGTGATTAAGTTTTGTAGTGCAGACGTGTGAGGTTAGGGCGGGTCGCAGTCAGTGCCGAACCTGGAAGCCCAGCTGGCAGTATTCTGTACAGGGGACACCGAATCATGTGCACCTTTACCCAAGACTTCAGAGCCAAAAAGATTTCCATCTCCAGGGAACTGTCTCCCTCTGTGTCTGCATTTTCCAGAAGGTTGGTTTGCGTAATACAGTGGTGTGTGCGTGTGCACTGGGTAAAGTGGCTATTACTTTGGGAATTAAAACTTGCCACCCCTTTTTTCCTGCCCTGCACTTCCGACCCTCCGCTGCTAGGGCAGCTGGTGGCTGGGGGGGTGGGGGGGAACGCTGAGCACATCTGTCCCGGCGACTCCAACTCCTTGTAGGAGGCGCGCCTTCCAGGGTCATGGTGGCCTTTGGTTGGCAGACCTTCCCTCGCCCAGTCCCTGATGTTCACCCGCCCCCGTAACCCGCCCTCTGGAGCCCTGGCACCCCCACACACACCATCGCCCCCTGGGTAACCCGCCCTCTGGAGCCCTGGCACCCCCCGCCCTGCACCGTAGCTTGCTCGCCAAGCTCTTCTCCTTCCGGAGGTCCACCTTCTCGGTGTGGGGTGAGCTCTTCTGTAAAGAGACAGACGTGATGCCAATAAAACGTAACAAAACGAAGGTCTGCGTCTGCCCGTCTTTTCTCCCTGCTCCAGGCGCTCGGCTCAGCAGAGACCTAGTGGCCAGTCGGAGCCCTGCCTCACGAGCACAGGGCCTTTGCCATCGTCATAGCTGGGATGGGCACCGAGCTGCCGCCTCCGGCCCGGTCACAGTGGGTGCAGCCAGCCTGGCTGGGCATGTGGTCCCACTCTTGGCTGCTCGTGCATGGTGTCGCCGATTCTGTGTTGCCCCAGGAGAGAGGTTGGACCGGCAGGGCCTGCGTCCAGTGCCCGAGCACTCGGACATCGCCCAGCAGCTGTGACGTGGGGGCCACAGTGGTCAGACGCCAGCTCTCCTGCCGCCCTCGCTCAGTCCTTGTGCTTCCCTGGGAGCCTCCTGCCAGTCCTTACCACTCCCACCCCGAGTCCAGGGCTGTGGCCCGCTGGTCCCCGTGGTGATGCCCACGCCATCAGGCTGCCGACCGATCCTGCCACTGACCTGCCTCCGGGCAAGGTGGCCCTGAGCGCAGCCTCAGGCCGGCCTGGCCCCGGACTCCCTGCACTGGAGGTGCGTGCTTGGAGGGGAGATGGCCACGGCAAGTCTCGGTTCTCCACTGGGACTTGGGCACGTACGGCATGTGCCTGGCGTGGGTTTCCAGCCACCAGGTCGGGGGCTCCGACAGCAGCCAGCCCCTGCCCCTGACCTTACGGTGGGCCAGTGTCCTGAACGTGGGACCTCAGGGGAGACTTGGCTGTGACCCGGCCCTGACCCCAGTCGCCACCCCGAAGCCCGGCCGGCCTGGTCCTTGGCTATTTGTCTATGGGGCCAGCAGGGCGTCGTGGTGGTGGGGACCGTAGGGGGCATCCTGGTGAGAGGAGCACGTGGTCCCCTGCAGTGTGAGGACACCCATGCAGGCTCTGAGCGTGCCTGCTGCACCATGAGAGTGTGCATTAGGGACCAGCAGATGGCGTGGTTACGGCGCTCGTAGTCCACGGCAGTTCGAGTCCCAGACCTGGTAGCTTGAAACTCACACCAGGAGCGCATGTGCCTAAACCCCGAGAGGAGAGGAGAGGAGAGGGGAGGGGAGGGGCTTGCGGTGTGGCCACCCCTGGCAGTCATTTCTCGTTTTCTGTCTGCCAGCAAGTGCAAAAATCTCCCCAAAAAAAGGAATTAAGGTGAGTGTGTGAGCGGATGTGGCCTCTGAGAATGGAGCGACTGGCTGATCCGAGCTCGGGGACGTGAGGGAAGTTCAGGCAGGAGGACGGAGTTAAAGCACAAGTTTATTCTGGCGCAAAACCCTTTCATGTATCCCACCAGTGAGAGCTGTAGAGCATCTCCCCGCCACCCCCGGCCACTCGGGCCTGTCACTGTGGGAACCGGGAGCCTTCCTGCGGGTCAGCTCGTGGAGCCATGCCATGGTGCTGCCCCTGCCCCGGTGCGGAGGCGTTGGAGCCCATGGGCAGCTCTGTGCACCTTTCCCGTGAACCTCTGCGGTGTGTGGCATCATCCTGGCTTGCTCCGGCAAGGGGCTGGAAGGCGCTGGCCCTGAGGCGTGTGTCCCAGCAGGGATCATCCGAAGCACGGCTCAGTCACCCCTCACCTCCATGACTACCCGTGTCACCCCGCCGACACGCCTGTGGCTGTGCTCCAGCCTGCAGAGGTGGACTTCAGGCTGAGCTGCTCTGTGTCAAGGATGAGGACTGGGACCAGTGGATGGCTTAACGGTTACACCGCTGCACTCCCACACAGTCGACCGCAGTTCGAGTCCTGGACCTGGTGGCTTGAAACTCACGTTCATCCCAAGAGAATGGGGGATAGGGGATTGCAGTGTGGGCCGGGGTGATTGCTCGCTCTCCCTCTCAGATCCTCCAGCGAGCACTGTGCCCTGTACCAAAAATCTTAAAACAAACAAACAAACAAAAAAAAACAGCACCTTCACTGACCTCACGTAATGACCTCTCCTCCCTAGTCTTTATGCCAGCCAGAATTATGGGTGTGTGCACACGTGAAGGTCATGCATGTGCCCCGCATGTATGGAACCAAACCCCAGCGTTCCACGTGGCTTCCTGTACTGCAGGACCTGACATGGGCTGGGGGAGCATTTCTGCTCTGAAACCTGGCTGAGGGCTGCAGGCAGGCTGGCAGGACGCCAGAGCGGGCTGGCCGACACCCAACCGACATGGTTATGGCGTGTGCACTAGGCCTGGTTCTGGATCTATAAACAAGATCTCGACGGCCCAGGTGGCATGGAGGCTAAAGGTGGGCTGCGTGCTTCGACTCCTGGACAGGCAGCTGGTCACACCAGGCGCGTGTGCTCAGAATCCTAAGAGCAACTGGAAAAGGGATTCCTGTGTGACCAACTCCCCTTGTGATTTCTCACTTTCCCTCTGGTGAGTGCAGGTACGCTATGGAAAAATTCTTTCTTCCTTTTTAAGAGTTATTATTTTACTCATTAGTATTTTTTCAATTTGACCACAGAGCAACAGGGAGCGAGGAAGAAAGCCACCAAGTCCAGGGCTTGAACCCTGGTTGGCCACGTGGCAGCCTGTCACTTTACCACACCTGCCAGCCCCTGGAAAAAATCTTTAAAGCAGTGCTGCATGTGTGCCCTGCCTCCCCACGACCCGTCAGACCCCCTTTCCCACATCAGCCCCATGCCTGCTTTACGGTGTCTGCGTCGGCACCTCCCGTGCCAGCCCACCCTTGCCCATCAGGCCTGTGGTCCCGCCTCCCCGAGCAGCAGGCTGCACTGCTGCTAGGGAGGGCCCCAACCAGCAGTCCAGAACTGGGAGACGAAACCACAGAGCCTGCTTGGGAAAGCGGCCAGAAAACCGCATTGAGCCTCTGCAGAAAGCCTCTGGCCTGGGTCTGCGAGGGCCGAGCTCTCCCAGAGACGGGCCGGGGCCTGTTGCTCGCCAGAGTCCTTGGGCTGCTGGGAGGACCTGGAAGTCTGGGAAGCAGTGGAGGGGCCCCCGCGAGGACAGTTTCTCTAGGAAGAGGAGCAAGCGCCTTCCGTCCCCCTGCGGGGCTTTCCTGGCGGTCTGTGACAGGGCGAGGGCCGTGTTCGCGCCCTCCTGTGGAGGGAAGCAGTCCTGCAATCAGGTGACAGGTTTAGTCACCGTCAGGCCACTGGGGAGGAAGGGAGAGGGCCCTGCGGATCCCTGACTTGGGCCACCCAGCAGTCAAAGGAGCTGACCCACACGGCTGGCCGTGGCTCAAACCCTGACCCTCGTGTTTTGAGAGCCATGAGGCTGACGGATGGAGAAGGGTTAGTCCCACACTCCACTGTGGGTGCTTTCTCTGGCCAGTACGCTTTGGCAATTAGAAAAAAAAAGATTAAGGGGCCAGTCGGTGGCATGGTGGTTAAGTTCGAGTCCTAGACCTGGCAGCTTGCTTTCTCACTTTTTTCTCTCTCCCTCTCTGGTCAAATAAAAAATACACACGGTCATTTTGTCATTTTTTTACATAAAAGGAAACTGCGAAGAAAGAAAGTGCCTACAGCCTAAAGGGTTTGACGTGAGCCCGGCTGCTGGGGCAGACACCCTGGCTCAGGCACCTGCGCCCACACAGGACACGAACCCAGGACTCGCCAGCACGGGGCCAGCAGAGCTGCAGGGAGAGGTGGGCCGTGCCTCTGCTCTGAATGCCTTCCCTCTGATTAAGGACTTCCAGGCAGCGCGGCCAGCACAGGCACCTGGGCCCGGGCAAGACTTTCCCGGGAGAGCTGGAGCCAGCAAGGTCTGTGCCTTGGAGCTGGGTCTGGGAGAGGCACGGGCCTCACCGGGGCAATGGCGCCTCAGGGCTCCTTGCAGCACTGGTACACGAGGCCCGGCAGGACAGGCAGGACTGGAGACGGGCAGGAGGCAGGGTGTACTGTGTGTTTCTGTGCCAGGAAGAAGAAAAGCCTTTGCTGTGCCCTGCAAGGCCTCTGGGCCACAAGCTGCCGTCCTTCCTCAGGCAAGTGCACAGCCTGGGGCAGATCCAGGTGGCCAGGAAGGAGGCCCTGCAGGGTACAGCCCTGTGTACAGGGCCGGTGTCAACATGCAGGCTCGCGTTCCCGGTGCCCTGCACACACGGGGGGCCCGTCTGCCCAGCCAGGGGGACTGAGGAGGCGGTGCCTGTGGGTTTCCTAGGTAACATCAAGTGGCCACGCCAGGCCGCGGCTGGGGCTGCTGCAGACTTCAGTTGGCTGAGTGTGCGGCCCTCACTCTGTGGTCAGTGGGATGGGCCCCAGGGTCCCTCAAGGCCCGCTGTGCCAGGTGGCCACAGGTTCCCACACCCAGGTACCCACAGGACCAGTGTCTGGCTCGGGGTCGGGGCTGGGTCAGCGGCCTGGCAGGTCCCGTCACCTGGAGGCCTGCGAGGTCTTGCTCCCAGGAGCCGCATTGCCTGTGGCCAGTCCCAGTCAGGCTTCAGCCCCTCGGGTATTTGGGCTGGCACCTGAGACCACGTCGCTCGTGCCCATGGTGTTAGAGAAGGGGCGTGGGTAGGAGGGCTGCCATCTCCACGGAGATGGAGTGTGGCCAGGCCGTGGGGGG